AAATGTATCCCACAATTTTAAAATAAAAACTTTTTAAAGTTAAAAAAAAAGATAAATGGATAAAGAAAATGTGTCATATGTCCACAAAGGAATTGTCCAACCTTAAAGAAATAATGAAATCCTGCCATTTGCAGGAACATAGATGGAACTGAGGGACATTAAATTAAGTGAAATAAGCAAGGAACAGAAAGTCAAATACCGTGTGTTCCTACTCATATGCAGAAGCTGAAAATGTTAATCTCTTAAAAATAAAAAGCAGGACAGTGGTTAGAAAAGTTTGAAAATGATAGGAGAAATGGGGAAATAAGGAGAGAGTTGTTAAAGGATACAAAATTAGAGCTAGATAGGAGAAACAAATTATAGTGTTTTATAACACTATAAAATGACTATAGTCAACAATAATATTCTATACATTTTCAAATAGCTAGAAAAGAAGATATTGAATATTCACAACACAAAGAAATGATAAAGATTTGAAATTATGAATATGTTAATAACCCTGACCTAATCATTACACATTATATGTATCAAAACAACACTATGTACTATGTACCCTATGAATATGTCCTATTATTATGTCAATTAAATATAAATCAATTTTTTAAATATAGGAATAAAAAGAGAATCAATCATACTAAACTATGGCTATTAAAGGATATTTTCAATTGTGCTATAATAATAAAGGTGCTCCATGAAATAAGATCTAGTGAAGATTTCTTAGAAGAAAAAATTTTAAAATAATGATGATCACTAGCAATACTTTGCTTTCTGTAACAACTTTTTATGTTATGAATATATCTGTGATGACATAATCACAAGTATTGATAATAGTGACAGCATTCATAACGGAATATAATGTTTCATTTTAATTAAAGATCCATAAAACAACATGTTATTTATTTGCACTTAAGTTCACAGGCCTTCTGAGTTATATTCATAGACCTCTTGAGAGTCTATGATCCACAGGTAAAGAACCCAAACTGTGTTCTACTTTTCCTTGTGCTTACATTTATATCTTAGGAATACTTCTTGCTGTTATGTGGAGAATGAATCGCAGGTGGGAAATTATAAGAGAGGTAGAGAGGTCTTAGCAGCTTGGTAAGTAATAATGACTAAGCAGTAGCCTAGGCACTATCCTATAATATACTGTGTACAATATTGTACTGCTGTACAGTGTAGACTGGTTGAGGGACATGGTAGCAGCGATGGAAAGACATAGATGAAGTCAATATACATTTTAGATATAGAAAGACTCTTCTATGGATTGTGTGGAGTGGTGGATGAGAAAAAAGGTGGAATCTAAATAGTTTATTTATAGTTAAGTATCTATTCTTCTACATTCATTTTTTTCCCCTCTACTTCACCACAATCTCTTCTTCTCTTTGTGCCTTCGATTCACCTTCCTTCTTTGATAACAATGACTCTAGAGTAAATTATCTTCAGCGTAATCTGAGGAAGAGTCAAGGGTAGTACAAATGTAAGAGCCATTTTCAGATATTGGGATAACATATTGAGAACTGGCTAATCTGATATGCTGTGTTGGTGCAGAAATTTTAAGTAGGCTTAGTGAATAAGGCTGTAAAGGCATAGTTCAGGGTTTAACTGATTCCTCAAAAATGGGTTTTACTACCTGAAATTCCCAGATAGAGATTAGGTAGTCATCATCTAGCTTCAGGGATTTGCTATTCTGTTGAAATATCTGACTTGATGTTATAATTTTCTGGTTCCATTTTAAACAACTTCCTGAGTACTACATGCTACCATGTCTCAAAATAAGCAATTCCTTGTATTTTCATAAATCTAGACAAAGTTTGTCTATAGTTGAAATGTGTTTATTACATGTTATAGATAAAGTGAGTAGATAGCTACTGTCATCATTTATTTATCCATTCGTATATAAGAATTAAAACATTTCCATTACTGCCTTTTGAATGGGTAAAAAGTGAGAGACAAAATACATGAATAACACATCAGACTTTTTAACCATATTTACTTTATTTAAAAATATTATTGTGTAAAAACAAGACACGCAACCCTGGAATATATATATCAATTTAAAATAAGATCATCAACAAGGGTATCTGCACAATGAATATTTGTATACCTAAATCTTAACTGTACCCCACAATTTTAAAATAAAAAATATAAATAATTAAAAAAATAAGAAAGCCCCCAAATATAATACTTATTTTGAAAAATACAGGCAAATAAAGGATAATGCTAACTACAAAAATGCACAAAAAGACAAATAATAATTGGCACAAATCCAATATTTTAACATTAGCTAATATTAGATAAATTGACACTTCTTATTACCTTATAAAATCCTTTCATTTATGTTCAAGTAAGAACCTTTCTTTACATTTCAGCACCTGAGACTTTATGCATATTTAGCACAACAGCAACAATAACAATAACAATGTTAATTAGTATTCATTAAACTCCTGATGAACACCAAGCACTGGTAAATATGTTACATGTATGTTTGTTTAATTTTCACATTACTACTGATTGTACTATTATCATGTTTTATATGTGAAAAAACTAAGCAACATTTTTTTTAAAAAAACTTGCTCAAGTTGCACAAGAAAGTTGTGGTACTGGAATTCAGTCTTGCAACAGACAGATTCTAGCTAATTGCTGGGTACATGTCTCTCCAAGACAAAAAGATAGATCTTGCACTTTAATGAATCTCCAGCACCCAGCAAGGCCCTGAAACAGAGTAAAAGTTTAAAAAATAATTATTGAACTAAAGATTTATATTTTAGGAGAAGTTTATATTAGGAAACAGAGATAATTTTAAAAGAAGAAGAAGGCAAAAAAGAAAAAAAATTCCACCTTAATTTTTTTTTCATTTGTCTGACTGACGTGAGGCAAAAAGGGAGAGTTTATGATTTGGTTAAAAATGAATGAGTGTTTCAGATTAAAAATATGATTTTATACTTAGCTCCAACACTACATTTTTTCATAATCTTCTACACATTATTTGGGTCAGAGATTGTTTATGTTGAAGCATGTTGAGACCTTAAAAGTCCAAGATAAATGTAAGAAACTATTATTTCCATTTTTTTCCTTGCAAGGCAAGAACTTCTGTTTTTGTCATGGTACTCACCATTTAAGTCTGTAATGACAGATTGCTTCCAGAACTCTTTTCATTTACTTCAGTCAATTTGAGGAGACATTTTATCAGTACCTCAAAATGTCATGCAATCTAACCTAGTTTTATCACCCTTCCCCATATTAGTAACAAAAAAACTGGAAAATGTCCTATTTGCTTTTAAGTCATATGCCTTAAGATCCAAAAACTGGAATACCAAATTCTACATGCTAGTGGTTTGCCCTGAGGAAATTATTCTTCAGAGAAACACTACCTTAAGAGGCATCATCAGTAGAAGTCCTAGAGAAATAGAAATGGCATTTTTAGAATCCATTCTGTACACCCTCAATAAAATAGTAATAAAAAACATTTAATCTGGTGAGAGGAAATGGAATCTCCCAAGATAATAAATTAGGAAAAGACAAAAATCAAGATTTAATTCCAGGGTTCCTGTTTATCTGGAGAACTGTTGTTGCCCCTTATCATGATTCAGCCTTAAATTAGTTTTATGAATTCTCTGGACTTTTGATTCTTCAACTGTTAGGAAAATGGATTGACAAGTTGACTTCCAAAGACTGTTTTCCTACATAAAAAATCCACTTAACATGATCAATAATAAAACAAATTAAGGAGAATTGTAGTATATGTACTTAAATTATTTTCCTCTTTTCTTAACTACAGGTCACATTATATTAAAAATTAGATACAAAATTTATGTTTAATAGTTAGACACAAAAAATAGTAGACACAAAACTTGTCATTAATCTGACAGTTAATAAATTCTCCAAGCCTTTGGTCTTTGTAGTAAATAAATTCAGCATATGTATGATTTTCAGGCAGATTTTGAAAGCCAATCAGGTTTGAGTGGTTTACTTTCATGATTTAAACTTTACAAACTGTAATTTTATAATTTGATGTCTTAATTATGAAGTGTAATTTTGATATTCACATGTATTAAGAAACTGTGTTGTTAAATTTTATATCCTATTCTCCTATGTGTAAAGTTTGACTCAGCATTCAAACCCCCGAACTCACTGAATCAAGATTGTTCAATGTTACTTAAAATAATCTCTTCACAATATCAATTTTCCTATTAAAAATATTAGCAGTTTTTTGGGGGGGGCCTTTTTGTCCAACATTTTAAATTATAGTTCTAAATTAAAATGAGCACCATCATAGTATCACAAGGCTGTGCAACAAAGTGGAAATGTTCTGGTTAGAAAACAAGAGAACTATATTTAAGGTTTCTCTAAGTAATCTTAATCTGAGATAGGTTTATAGAATTCATAGGCTTATGAAGCCGTGAATTTATGTTCACAATTTTTACGTGTGCATTTTCTATGAAAATAACTTTTAAGCCGGGCTCGGTGGCTCAGCCTGTAATCCCGCGCCTTTGGGAGGCTGAGGTGAGTGGATTGCCTGAGTCCGCGGGTTCGAGACCCGCCTGGGCAGGCGAGACCTCATCTCTACAATAAAATCAAAAAATTAGCCGGGCGTGGTAGCGCGCGCCTGTAATTTCGGCTACTTGGAAGGCTGAAGCGGAAGGATCGCCGGAGCCCAGCAGGTCGAGGCTGCGGTGGCCGAGGGTGGCCACTGCACTCCAGTCTAGCGACAGAGTGAGACTCCAACTCAAAAAAAAAAAAAAAGAAAATAACTTTTAGATTTGAATAGATTATCAAATGGACCCATATCCCAAAAGGCTTGCACACACTGAACTAATTTTTTGGCAAGATGTTGTACATCTCTTAATCCTGGCTTATTTTCATGAATTTAAACTAAATGACTTGATAGAAAGAGCCCGAGTTTTATTTTGTTTTTTACTGCTCGAAGAACAAAACTGGTGTTACTGCATCTCAGCCTGGAGTTCTCTGTTCATTGCATTGGATATTGTGAAGTAGCTTTCCTAAGATTGAAATATTGGTAACCTAAGTTTCTTCTTCACTGCTGTCTTCACTTCCTGGTTTCTCAAAGTATAGATAAGTGGATTAAGAAAGGGAGTGAAGATGGTATAGATAACAGAGAGAATTTTGTCCACCAGGAAGTTTGTAAAAGGCCATACATAAATGAAGATGCAGGGCCCAAAGAACATCGTCACAACTATAAAATGTGCAGTACAGGTAGAAAGCGCTTTGGATGATCTTGAGGAGGAGTGGTCCCTGATAGTGACAAGAACAATAATGTAGGAAGTGAGCAAAAGAAGAAAGCTTATAAGAGCAATCACCCCACTGGTTGAAATCATGAAGATCCCAAGAACATACATATCTACACAAGCCAGCTGAACGACCAAAGGAAGGTCACAGAAGAAACTTTCTACAACATTGGGACCACAGAAGGGTAAATAGAGGGTAAAAGCTAACTGACTCATTGTATGCAGGAAGCCCACAGTCCAAGAAGTGACCACAAGCCCAACACACACTTTTCGGCTCATAATTGTTGAATAATGAAGAGGTTTACATATGGCAATATACCTGTCAAAAGACATGGAGATCAACAACACAATCTCAGTCTCAGTGAAGAGGTGTAAAAAAAAGATCTGAGAAATGCAGCCCTCAAAGGAGATGGTCTTGCGCTGAGCGAAGAAGTCCATGATCATTTTTGGTGTGGCAAAGGAAGACAGGCACATGTCAATGAGAGAGAGGTTGCCAAGCAGGAAATACATGGGGGAGTGGAGGTATGAGGTGGATAGGACAGTGAGCAAAATCAGGCAGTTGCCTAAGATGGTAATTAAATAGGAAAGGGAAAACACCACAAAGAAGAATATCTGGAGCTCAGGGGAATCAGTAAGTCCAAGTAACATGAATTCAGACACTCTGGAATGATTGAGCTCCTCCATTGGTCCTCAGAATCTGCTCTAGAATCTTAAAAAGAACAAAAATAGAGTTTGAAAATGTATTTTACAACACTGATGACTAGAATCTAACTAAAAATAACCTTGGGGCAAAGATTTTTCTCTCTGGGGACCACATCACAATTGCTATCGGATGTCACTTTTAATGAAAAACCTTGCGACTTTGATCAGTGTAAGTACACATTGAGCTATACTCACATGCCACATGAATATAGACCTGTCTGAATACTATGTAAGAAGTTACATAATGCATATTTATAGAGGAAGACTACATTGTTTGTGTGCCCTACTGAATAAGGCATATAAATTAAAATAAAGATTTCTCAAAATTTCTTACAACAAAAAATTCAATTATTGTTAAATACTAGATTTAAAGAACATTTTGAAGTAATAGTTTCCTAAGACTTATTTAATATCCTATAAGAGTGACAAGTCATTTACTTTTAACTTACTAAGTGCGTAAGACTACAGATAATCAAAAGGCATACCTGCAATATATGAGAGTTATTTTCAACTTTTGGTAATTATGATCTCATAGAAACATTTTTTTAAAAAGAAAATATTCTTTCTTTAATTCTCTTCATTCTACCCAAACAAAGGTATTATTTTAGACTAGAAAAAGAAAAAGAAAACTACTTTAAGGATTCAGAATCATTTTTCAAATTTAGTTTTTCTATTTACAGTGATTCCCAAGTTGTACAAACTTTAATTTTTATGCGATACCAATTTATTTACCAAATAGTCAGTGTGGAACAAAGCAAATGAAAATTAAACCTGGGAAATAAAGGCTAATTTTGTGACTAGCTAGGGTTTACTTTTCCAGCCACCAAATTAAATTTAAACTTTTGACAACAGAAAGTTTAGCTGAGTTAACTGAAAAATTTTCCAGGTACTGGTACTGGAAAATTTTATCAGAGTAAAATTAAGTTTAAAAAAATCAAATATAGTTTTCGTTCAGGTGTATATAAAAGTCTGTATGCAACCAAAGTCATTTTTTTTTTCTAGTTGAATTGCTTTTACTACATGTAAAACTTTGTGAGTTCCCTTGTCATATTAAATCATTCAAATATTTTATTTGTACATTCAAATATTTTATTTGTTTTGATAATTTACTGAACAGATAATGTTATATTTAATCCTGTGTTATAATTTATCCACCTTTGAAAATATTACTTTTGTTTCTTACTCTACATAAAAGCTTTCTAAGTACACTAAAAAGATTAAAATTTTAATATGTCAGTGAAACATGATAGATGAATGTCAACAAATGTTAAATGTCCGTATATTAACATTTAAGTTATAGTTGATATTAATACAAATAGAAAATAATGAAGTTATTGTCATGAATTCAAAGAACAAGCAAATGGAAAGATAATCAATAAATGAACTACTTGACTTTTATTTCCTCCATATCGCTTCCATTCATTTATTTCCAATAATCTCTTCTCACTTCTATGCTACTGTCAAATATTTTAGTTCTAGCATGTTTTGCTAACTCTACAAGTTATTTTAATTATGTTTTATTTCATAAATATTAGCCTTTATTTACCCATATTTTCCATATTCTTTGTTCTTTAATCTTTTGTTTACCTCAGACTTTCTATCTGGGATCAGTTGTTCTATCAGAAAAAATATACTTTAGAATTTCCCTTACTGAGTGCTTAAATATTGCAAAGTCCTAACTGATTTGTAGTTTTAAAAATATTTTGAAACAATTATGACTTCTTTTTGGATGACTACCACAATGTTTTTATTGATTACTTATTTTGACTTTAGAGTAGAAGGTTAATAGCAATTGTTCTGTTTCAGCAAATGTCAATGGGAAAAATATTGTATTCATTTTTTTAATTGTACAGAAAAAAATGTATTGGAAGCAAATTGTACTCTGTAAATTGCAATTTACCTTATTATTGCATCCTAACTTTGTAATTAAACACAAGATAACCTAAATTTTAAGTGTTGCCTTGAGAAATATTTTTCATTTGGGTGATCTCATGTTTTCCCCCATGGAGGAAAATCTGGTTACATCCTCAATTACTTGTGCATATTCAAGGAATATTTTGAATATCAATGTTTTGTCAATATTGATAAATAGTTTTAAATTTTGTCAGAGAACAATATTCTGGGAATCTTAAAACAAAACTATTGCTCAGTGGTTAAGAATTAAGGTTTCTTGATCTTAGCTATTTCTCAGTAACCTCGCTAACATTTGGCCTCTACTTGTGAGAGTCATATTAGATGATCCATATAAAGTTCTAAACATATTGTCTGGGGAACATTTAAGAACCTTTCTAGGTTTCAGACTTCAAATTCAAGACTGCATTCAGAAATAATCATCTTGTCTTATTTTATTACTACTAATAATAACATATGCAACAAAAATATTCTCATCTAGTTTTAGCTGAAGGACTTAGAAAAAGACTATGTACCATCAAAATAATTTTATCTTTTTTGAAGTTAAAATACTTTTTTCATATGAAAATGGTGTAAGTTAATTTTCCATTAGATGTATTAAAAATTCTCAGCTTTACACCTTTGAATATTTCTATTTTCCTGACAATAATGTAATTACTAATGGGAACTATTCTTATGCCTAATTATATATACATAACTATACATATATAGGTATAGTTAAAGATATATATGTTATATACACGTTCCTTGTATGTGAATAAGCAGTCGATTCTTTTTTTGTCTTCATCTTCAGAAAGTCAGCTTTAATTTCTATTGAATAAAACCATTCATATTTATATACTTAAGTTTTATATATAGAGAGAGATATTCTTTACTACCTCTTTATTATATTACCTTTACATAAATATTAAATAAATCCTAATTTATTTTTGCTATCTGAAGAATACAAACTACAACTTCTTCTCAAGATTCCTACTACCTTATGCATTTTTCAACCTACCAGCTATGCAACTGAATAAAAAACACCATACCTCCAAGATTCACAAGTCTACTGAAATCATTGTGGTCTTTGGTAAATATCAGTAACCTGGAGTATGAGTATATATTTTCTCCTGTCTGTGTATAAAACCTTTTAGAAGGCAGTGGCATTTAGGAGATCAGGGATTAGAAATTACAATCTACTTGCAGTGGGAGTTATTAAAACATTGAACTGACTTTTCACAGAGTTGCAACAAAAACTTTGGAGTGTGTCTTTGCTATTTAAAGTAAGGCTGCATGCCTGTGATGAAGCAGTGTTCATTACAACAAAAAAGAGAGTGTAACTGAGATTCACCAAGGAGAATAAGACATTTGTACAGTCATTTAAGGAGCATATGAAAAGCAAATATTACTCCTTTTAATATGGAAATATCGTTAAGCCCTATGTTTAAAACACCATAGTTAAAAAATTATTATTTTAGGTTATAGCAATTTGTCTCCAGTAAACATTTGTTTATTGGAAGAGTTATGTATTAAAGGAACTATCACACATTAAAGTTTCTGACAGGACATTAAAAAATCAGCACAGGTTAATATCTATAATGATAGCCACCTCAATGGATAAATGAAGCCTAGGGAGGGGGATGTTGGAAAGTCTGACATAACTTCAACAAATGAAGATAGGTCCTACGTAAGTCCCTTCAAGAAATGGTGTAAAAACTACATTATAGCCTGTAATCCCGCGCCTTTGGGAGGCTGAGGTGAGTGGATTGCCTAAGCCGGCGGGTTCGAGACCCGCCTGGGCAGCAAGACCTCATCTCTTCAATAAATCAAAAAATCAGCCGGGCGTGGTGGCACATGCCTGTAATTCCAGCTACTCAGAAGGCTGAGGCGAAAGGATCGCTGGAGCTCAGCAGGCGAGGCTGCGGTGGCCGGGAGCGGCCACTGCACTCCAGTCTGGGCGACCGAGTGAGACTCCAACTCAAAAAAACAAAACAAAACAAAACAAAACAAAAACTACATTATAAAAATAAATGTGAAACATTTAGACCAATGCCCAGCACAAGGAAAGTACATAATAAAATATAGTAGAAATAATAGCAAGGATGATTATAATAATTATCATTTAAGTGTCCATGACAAATCATCCAAGAAGATACTAAATGTTAACTCGTAACCTGAAACCATAAACTGAGGGTGTTATCATACTTACTTGCCTGCCAATATTGCTCTGTAGCTTTCTCTCTAAATACAACCTTTTGCCTTAAGTACCTCAGTGATTTGAACTCTTCACAACTGTCACACGTATGCTACATTTCCCCACAGGACTGGCAATAAACTCCAAATAAAGCTGCCTCAAGTTGACCTCTATGAGATATTTTTGACAAATAATTGTCAAAATTTGTCTGAAAACAAATGTGACTGAAAGTTGTAAAAAATTAGAAATTATATTTTATGTTTTTTAGGTTAAAAAAATTTAATTTTTTATTTGTACAAGTATATGTGGTACATGTGAAATTTTTTTACATGTATAAAATGTATAATGATCAAGTCAGGGTATTTAGGGTGTCCATCTCTTGAGTACAATTTATTTTATTAAGTATAGTCACCCTACTCTGCTATCAAACATTAATTTATTCCTTCTATCTTACAATATGTTTGTAACCTTTAATCCACTTTTCTTCATCCTCTCCTTTCCCCCCTCACACTTCCCAGTCTCTGTTATCTATCTTTCCACTCTTTACCTTAATAAGATCAAATTTTAAGCTCCCTCATATAAGTGATAAGAGGCAATATTTGTCCTTTGGTAACTGACTTTTTTCAATCAAGATAATTATCTTCTTTTCCATCAATGTTGCTGCAAATGACATGATTTCATTCTTTTTTATGACTAAATAGGACTTCATTGTGTATATATACCACATTTTTTTGTTCATCTGTTGATGGACACTTAGGTTGATTCCATATTTTTGGTATTGTGAATAGTACTGACCTAACCAGGTATACCATATTGATTTCTTTTCTTTAAGGTAGATAACCAGTAGTGAGAGTGTTGGTTCAAATGGTAATTCTATTTTTAAGTTTTTTGAGTG